TTGGGGTAAATTACACTTTTAATGTTTAGTCTCTCTTATAAAACATGAATCCTATATAATTTTTTTTAATACTAATAGAATAACAAAATTGTTATAAATTTTAGGACGCTATACGGACAGTCATCTGACAACACCCTCCGTTACACCCAACTTCAATTTCCGTTATCTCCATTAATATACTTAACTCCATTCCATCTTCTTCTTTCTCTTTCTTGCTTTTTTTTTTTTTTTCTTTTCTCTCTCTCTTTACATTTCTATTGCTCTAATCTGACCTTCTAATTCCAGCAAGATCCATGGTATCAGACAGGCTAGCAACTCGTGGGGCTGGAGGTGGCCGTGGCCGTCGTGGTAGTGGTTTTCTTGGAGGAGGAGGAGGAGGAGGAGGAGGAGGATCCATGGTATCAAACAGGCTAGCAACTCGTGGAGCTGGAGGTGGCCGTGGCCGTCGTGGTAGTGGTTTTCTTGGAGGAGGAGGAGGAGTCTAGAACCCAGCTAGGTTCTCGGTGGAGAACCCCAGCTGGGTTCTCAGAGAACCCCAGCTGGGTTCTCAGAGAACCCAGCTCAGGCCAGCTGGGTTCTCAGAGAACCCAGCTCAGGTTCTCCACCGAGAGAGTTGGAGAAAAAAAAAATTTCAGATCTGATAAAAAATTTCAGAACCCGAGCTAGGTTCTCAAGGAGTTCTCCGGGAACCCCGATTTTGGTTCTCGGAGAACCCAGATAGAGAGAAAAAAAAAAAAAGAAGAGGAAGAAGATAAGAGGAAGAAGATAATGAATTTTTGTAAATTTTTGTTAGAATTTTTACAAATTTGATGATTCTCTCTCCATTGTTTCAATTGATGATTGCTTTGTCTTTGCTCTTGCTCTTGCACAATCTTCTTCCTCAAATATCCTGCTGTCCAGCGACCCATGAAAAATGGGAAAGCATCATGGCAGCGGTGGACCATTTGAGAAAATAGGGGAATGATCAGATGTTCGCGAATCGATTGGAACTACCGAGATAGGAAAGGAGAAAGAGAAAGAAAGGGCTGGGTGGGTTTGGGCGTTAACGACAAAGTAACGGAGATAGGTGTGTGTAATGGAGGGTGTAACGGAGGAGGGTAAACGTAGTTTTATCCTTATTGGAAACATGTATATTTCATTAATTACGCATAAGAAATCGTCACAAACCCAATGCCAACACACAAGACTCCAATCTGATACACAGATCAAGCAGAAAGGACAACATATGAAGAACTGGTTATACAACCATGCTTATTAGGGGAAAAAAAAAAAAAACAGAGGGATTACTACAGTACCAAATGTACTTGAGAGTTTATTAAGGTGGGATAAAACCTAACGGCCGAGGAGAGATATGCTTTCTAAATAGCGGCACTGTGGAGGACTACTGTCTCAAGTGTGAGCCCAGCTCCAAACCCCATAAGAACACCCCACTCCAGTCCTTCGCCGGTAGTCTTGAGCCCATTTTCAGCTGACTTTTTCCTCATCACATCCATGATGAATAGCACAGATGCACTTGACATGTTGCCATACTCGGCCAAAATTTGCCTTGAAGCAAGGAGTTTTTCCGGCTTCAGATCCAACTTGGTCTCCACTTGGTCCAACATAACTCGACTATCTGGGTGTGCCACCCAGAAAATGGAGTTCCAATCTTTGATACCTAAAGGCTGGAATGCCTCCACTAAGCTCTTCTCAATATAGTTGGAGAATATCTTAGGGACATCCTTGTTATGGTGGAATACAAGCCCTGCTTCTGTGATCTGTCCCAGAAGAGCTCTGTCACTATCTGGCAAGATAGTTTGGATTGTCGATACCAATTTGAACAAGGGTTTCTCGACTCCGGGTATTGGATCCGCACCAACAATAGCAACTGCCGCACCATCGCCAAAGACTGCTTGACCCAAAAGGTTGTCCAGATGTGTTTCGCTGGGGCCATGGAATGACCCCATGCTGAGCTCTGAGCAGACAACAAGAACACGAGCTCCCTTGTTGTTCTCTGCCAGGTCTTTGGCCACGCGAAGCACAGCGTTACCACCATAGCCTCCTGTATTATACATCATGACGCGATTGACTGATGTGTAGAGACCCAATAGCTTGATAAGCATATAATCAAGTCCGGGTATTTCTATACCGCTGCAGGTGCTGCACACCATGTGAGTGATCTTGGACATGGGCTGCCCCCATTCCTTGATGGCTCTGAGGACTGCTTCTTTAGCCAGCTTTGGTGTCTCTTCCACCATAATATCTTGCCTAGCATTCATTGAAATCGCCATGTGTTCACCAATATTAGGATTCTCCTTAATTATATCTTCTGTCAAGTGCATGTGACGCTTCTTGATCCCTGATGCCTCACCTGAAACTCCCGAAAAAAAAAAAAGGCATCAAAGATAAAGTGGAAACAAAATCCAAGAATACAATTGTGATTTTGTGACATGGGAGAGCCTGACAGTTGACATAGAAACGTACATATGCTCTCAAATTTCTCCTTGAGCTCAGTCTTGTGCTCACTATTAGTGACCCTGAAAAAGAAGTCCGGGTAGGTGCTTTGGTCGACCACGTTGGTAGGGTTGGCGGTGCCAATGGCCAAGACAGTGGCAGTGCCCTGGGCACGCTGAGCCTTGCGGACTTCATTGACAGTCACCATTGTTTTTCAGAAGAAGAAGAACCTGCAGACATTGATAGAGGTGAAAAATCAATGCTGGATGATTAAGCTTGAATAGGGGAGAAGGGGACGTAATATCTTATCCTAACAAATAATTAAGATTTCAGTTAATAACCACGAGATTAAGAAATAAATGGAAGTAATAAAGGAACGAAATTTACAATCATAATTTGTTTATGTGCTTTTGACAAGAAAACATCACTAATTAAATTAGGATACACAACGTACAGTTGTCTCTGACTCACAGGGTTGTTAGTGACTCAATTTGAGCTAAATTTGAAAATCTCTACTACAGTGTATGGGTATCAACAAACCATTCAGTGCATAGATATTAGGCAAATCTCTACTACTGTAAGGAAAATATGATCCATTAAAATTGTTTGAACTCAAATAATAATAATAATAATAAAGAGATTAAAACTTTGTATTTTATCAAAGTTTTTTTCACTTTTTATTACTTGAACCAACTCTAACAGATTTTATTTGAAATCAATCAAACACAATAAAAGATTACAGAAGAAATTTAATAATCTTTAAAATAAAAAAACCCTCTAACGCACAAAATAACTCACTTAGTTTTGTTTTTGCTCGATGACCAAACAAAATTTCTCTTACCCACTTGGCCTTTTTTTTCTTCACTAACTATAGCTGGTGCTTCAAATGTTGAAACTCGGTATGTTTTATATAGGGCTCCAATCCGGCTGCGCCATCTAATTTTCAAAGTGAAGGATGAAAATTTTGATTCAAAACTTCACCTACCCCCTATGTTTTTTGAGCCACCTAATATACAGCATGATTGATTTGCATGAAGATTTGGTTTTTTATTCATGAATAATTCATCTTTTTAAGTTTGAAAAACAACTACTTGTACACCAACCGGTCTTACATAGCTCACTATATATACTCATTGGTAGCTTAATCCAAAACTAACACCGGCATACCCTGGTTGCTAACACCTCCTCTGTCTCTTGAATACATGGCCCTAACTTCAGAGTAGCTAAGAAAAAACAAAAACTATGCACCGCTTGACACTGCATCTCTACTGTTAATTAACCACAACTGCTAACAAAACAAGCACATTTTGGTTTCGTTGCAGGTTGTGGTAGGTGATGCAAGTTAGATATAATGTGCTTGTTGTGACAAACTGATGAAAAACAAACTCAAACCACTCAACCAAATAAAGCATTTAGGCATACTAGGTTTGGCTACACCAACCATGCATGCAATCATGTAGTATTAAAAACATGTGAAAAGGAAATTAATTAGTATACTTTCTAATTCAATATACCATCAACACATATTGATTTAATCATTAAAATTTGTAGCCTTAAGTTTTCTCACTTTAAATTCAAATTCAAAATAATAATTTCTTAATAAATGTGTTCTGAGTGTGTTAAACTAAATAATATCTGTATTAATATCCATGTGGAAAACATGCAGCCAGATCATGTTTTGCATTATTTTGTGCATTCATTTGCTTTAAGAGACCCTTAATGATAGGGTGAAAAAGGTGAAATTATAATCTTCCACTAAAACTCAACACTAAAATTCTTCTCACTTGTGTGTGATGGGGCGTGTGATCATATCATCTCTTACTGTGTTGCTATATTTTTAGTCTCTGTCTTTACTTCTGTTTCCTTACATTTTCCATATGTTCTCTGTTTTAAGTGGCATGGTTTATTGGTTTGAATGTCTTAGTTTGTGAGTGTAAAATGGGTTCGAGTACTCCTGTACTCCCAATTAATAATAAATTTTTTATTGGCAGATCCAAAACATCAAAAAAATAAAATAAAATAAAACTCTAAAATTCTGCTTAAAGAGGGAGGTCATGTATGAGATGAATACTCCGTTGCCTTCCCAGAAGCTATTCTTCCCTCCCTGGGGTAACTGGTATAACAATTGACATGAATGTGAGAAAACGCATCCATGGCCGGCCGTTTCATCCAGAGTCAGAGAATCAAGGATAGAGCGCATGGCAGCAACGGTGGCGGTGCTGCAGGGCCGAGGGTTTGGAGCATCCGTCCATGAGTTGTTGGCATTTGGTATATAACATATTCACCATAGCTTGTCGAAATGAGAGTTGGGGTACTCGTTTGGGACTTGGGTGAGGGAGTTTGGACAGGTTGAACCCAAATAAATGTGGGCTAAACCAACATAATTTAGGCCTGACCATATAAAGGGGGAAGTTAAGGATTCGATTGTTTGCTTGCTTAATAGCCTTAGACTATTTTTCAGTTTTTCTTTTGAGTTTTGGGCTTTAGCCCTTTTCTTCTTAAAAAATAGAAAGAAAACGGAGGGGGGAAATGAGGTTGTTTATGTAAAAGAAATAAAAATAAAAATATGGTGTAAAAACACTCAAAATCAGACAATTTTAATAAAATAACATGAGAAAAAAAATTAAAAACACCTCAAAACCATGGGTTCAAAATATGAGGGTGTATTTACTCTCTCTACTTTCATTAATACTTTCATTAATAATGGAAATGAATTTTTGTACTTTAATACTTTTCAACATGAATGAAATTAGGCCTTCTATATTTCAATTAAAATAAATTAGTTAAAATTTAACAAATAGTATAATTATATGTCACTATTTTATTCAAAAAAATAATTGAGAGATAACTTTTTAATATAATTTTGGGTGAATCTCATGGGTGGTCACCCAACTTTATTAAAATCAACGTTTTGGTCACTCAACTTCTAATTCTAACAAAATGGTCACCTAACTTCTTAAGTTCTCAAACCGTTAGTCATCCATAGTTAATATTAACTGAAAATGTTAAATTGCCGTTAAGGTGGCTAAGTTGAATGCCACGTGGCTAAGTTGAATGCCACGGGGATCTGACATGGCATTACAAGCACTAAAAATGTAAAAATTGTAATCTAAATCTCTAAAATTTTGGCTTTTTTTTAACTCCCTCTCTAATTTAAGCAAATATAGTGAATAAAAATGAATCTTAGGAAAATTCAGAATAAATTACCAAATCAGTATGACATGTTGGCTGCGTCTATAATGTGAAACTTCTTTGGGACTAGACAGATTTTTAAAATAGAGGGAAGCTAAATTTGCTAAGAAACCTCATTTCTAGCTTACCTAATAATAGACAAAATGAATCAAAATGGACATCGAGAAAACTCAGAATGAATTACCAAACTAGTATGATCTAGTTGGCCATATCTGCAACATGAAACTTCTCTAAGACTAGTGTCAACAAAATTGGCACAACACAAATGATCAAAACTCTTGCAGACATAACATTATATTTCCTGTTTGAAAATAAAAATAACAATGTTGTGTAGTTATATTGATAATTTTAAAATATAATCAAAGAAACAAAAAGGTATAAGTTGAAAATAAAGAAACTAGCATGAAAAAAGACCTTAAGATCATCATGTGAATAATCATTAAAAAAGATAAACTTTTAGGAATTTAGATTACAATTTTCACGTTTTTAGCGCTAATGAGTGCTTGTAATGCCAGGTCGGATGATGTGGCATTTAAGTTAGCCACCTTAACAGCAATTTAACATTTTCAGTTAATATTAACTATAGGTGACTAACGGTTGGACAACTTAAGAAGTTAGGTGATCATTTTGTTAGGTTTAGAAGTTGAGTGATGAAAACATTGATTTTAATAAAGTTAGGTGACCACCCATGAGAATCACCCTATAATTTTTTATACAATTTTATATATAATTTAATAATTGATTCTTTTCATTCTACTTAAACTCATGATTTTGTATGTAATTATTAATTTAATGACATATAAAAATTATAAAAAGGAACTATACAAAAGGTTGTCCACATACTATTACCCTTCTATTTTTCTCTTTTAATACTATCACTAAGTTCTTGTTGATTCGATAATTTTAAGATTATTTTTTTGATGACATGGCATTTTTTTTGTAGGTAACAAAATATGAGTGATTAATTTTTTTTTTGGGTAGCTAACTTGATACAAAAAAAATATCATGTTATCAATAAAAAAATTAGCCTAAAATTATTAAATCAACAAAAGTTTGGCGAGTATTCAAATAAAAAGATAGAATGACAACGTATGATTGCGTAATCTATTAAATTTTAACTAATTTATATTATAAAAAAAAA